TGAGAGCCCTATCAGTTGTGGAAAAGTGTAGAGCAGTGGCCTGAGCGATGAATGTTGTGGATCCTGGTGACGGCTGCCTTTCATTAGATATCGTTTCGATATTATCATAAAATTCATCCGTTTTTTTATGGATTCGCTTATACCTGCGCTGCTGTTTAGAATCAAATAATTTGATTTGATTTGATTTTTTGATTGGCTAGAATGTCGAAAAAAATATGTTTAAGTAATTTGCCCGCAAACAAGTACAGTGACTAGAATCAAAAAAAGGTTCCGCGTGGCGGGCCAGAAGAACGCCGACGCCCAACTGGTCAACGACTACCTCGACGCCTTCGAGGCCATGTCCAAGGCCTTGCTGCACAAAGTCGTCAATCTGGCTGACAATAATGTACGTTTATTTCGGCTAAAATATTAAAATAAAAATCAATTTATATTGAAAATTAACCTGGGTCTCAACAGAGCGTTGCGACCACTACGGTGGTCCATGAGGAATGCGTTTGGTACAGCGCTGGGCTCACGCTGCAACTGTATCTTGTAGGCGATTCCGCGTCGCGTTTTAGACGCGTAATTTTTTTTAAAACCTGGGAAGATTTATCTTGTAAAAACTTTTACGGTTTTTTACGCTCGCTTGTTCCGTCTTGTTGGATTATTATTTCACTTCTGCTGCTTACACAAATGCGTGCTGCAGATGAATTTCGTAGTGCATGGGCGAAAGCAGGTTGGTCAACGATGTAAATCCGTTTATGTAGAGTACCATGGGACATGGCTTCAATTTGACTTCTGTTCATTAAAGTTTTTGATTTTTCGCACTATACTCTTTTGTTTACAGTATTTTATGCACTTCTCAGACTACATGATCTGCATCAAGTTAACTAGAAACTGCGAAAGAAGCGGCGCTTGAGAACTAGAAACAGGCGAGTTAAACAAATCGAAAAGTTAAATGGAAGAGTGTTTGAGCAGGGCAACACGGTGCTGCACTACGCCATCTCGCAGCACCACTTCGACGTGGTCAGCGTCCTGCTGGACTCCGAAGTCTGCGACGTGGACAGCGTCAACCGCGCCAGATACACCGCCACCATGCTGGCCTCGCTGGCGCATCTGGAACACTGTAGTGTACGTATGTACATATGTACGTACTACCGGAAGTGTACGATACGATGCTATTCTGCTGTACTTGATTTCTCGTGTTTCTTTGTGCTATTCCACCTAGCAACTTCCTGTTCCTTACTTTAGGTACTTAGCTACGATTCCTGTTATTCAGTCCTTTACGGTACAATAAAGATCAGAATCTGATACAAACAGCTAGGTCATACAAAGTCATACGTATTTCTCAACATAATGCCATACATTACAATCACCGACCAGCTGGTCGCCGCCAGGCTCTTCAAACTCGGAGACTTCAACTGCAAAGCGTATCAGGTCGACGACAATGCACAACATACAAATGTTTGGCAACCGAATCCAGACAGATTCGTTATGGTTATATTTTGCGATAAGGACGACGACGGGTCGACGGCGCTGATGTGCGCCAGTGAGCACGGACACCTGGAGATCGTCCGGTTGTTGTTAGGCCATCCGGACACCGACGCCCATCTCACTGATAAGGTACACCGCGATTCCAGCCTTCATCCACGCTATCAATCCCGCACTGGGATTGGATTTATATTTTCTTGTGGATTTATATTTGGATTTATATTTGGATGTTGGATTTATATTTCCTTTTTCTAAAAAACTGGTGATGATTTGCGCTAGTACTTGGCTTAGTTTTGGCGGTATTGCCGAATGCATATTCTTTTTTCAAAGCTGAACACATCACTGATAGGTATTCGTAGTACAATAGCTTATCGTTAGTAGGGCTGACCATCATTAGTACGTGTGACGACAGATAATAAAGCAAACACTAAACAGTCAGAATAATTAAAGCCGATTTAAAGTCACATTCGGAGGTGAACTGATTTTTTTTAGTAATAATAGTTTAACGAATTGTTTTAATAATAAGATTTTAATAAACTTTTTTATACTAATAATTTTTTACGTTTAAATAAAAATTTGTATTAAATTTTTTATATGTTACAGTAATCATATTTTCGGCCTTTTTAGATGATTTGCGGTACTTTTTTATCGACAATTACATACATGTTAACTTCAAAATGGTGTTTTTGCTAAATATCGGATTTTTATTGGTCAAATCAAACTCATACAAAACTGTTAGAGATAAAGCACAAAACTACAACAGCAAAAGTTCATGCAGTTTATCCTGCCCTTCCATCGTGCCCAGCACTGACGCTGCATTTCCCCTTTGGATTTCTATCGACAACCGCTGCCGCAGAAATTCATGCGAACGTCCTTCTCCCGTTTGCTGTTTGAGTCTTTTCCCTAGCTCTTTCATGGTTGCAATCGCCGAAGGTCCCCATGAACCAAGCGTCTCGAAGGCAATCGGCACGAATAGGTAACGGCCATCCAGATAAGAGTAAAATCTGGATTTCTTTTCTTCTGCTTGCACTGCGGAAGTAGCTTTTACATGCGACGGCGCAACCGTGTCTACGCATGTTACGTCCCATGCGAGACACAACCCGCGTCCGGGCGGCGTTCGGTGGTGTAAGAGGTGCCGCGCGGCTCGAGTTTTGCAGGTACGCCAGCGGATACAAAACTTCTGCAAAGCATGCTGTTCAATCCTATTTTTTTTCAATCCCAATCCATATTTATGGGCACCACGGGCTGTGTACCTTTTCCGCCGTCCGGCGGAAAAGGTACACGACAGCCCGTGGTGCCCATAACCCTCAACTGCTTTATGGCATTTAGCGCAGTCATCAGGGTCGCAGATCGTGGCGCCAAGGCGGAGACCAACGCTGATCTTCAGTTCGTCGTCGCCTAGTAGATTGCCGATGTGGGCCGAGGGCAACGCGTTAAGCCAGAGGCCGGCTTCCGGCCTAGACTGGGCAAGCAACGAGTTTGAGTTTGCCTGCTTAAATTTTTCTTTAATTTTTTATAGCCGATTTTCCGTAAAGAAGTTTTGGAAAAAAAGTTTAAATGAAAATTGGTGTTTTTACGAGAATCATTGTTTCAGCGAGTTGTGTTAAGCGCGTTAGGAGTTTTTCACATGACGCCACGGAACTACAATATCGAGTGCAGCAATATCGTACCGTGTATCTCGTCTGCAGTATTTTCTAGCGGATGATGTGTACATCCATACAGTAAACAACAGCAATAAAACAGCCATTAGAAACCCTCGAATAATTGTTGTAAGGTCAAGCAGTTCCTTTTCATTTCGTCAACAAATTTTCTGTTTTCAGTAATTCATATAAAAATAATTTGTTCTTTTATGGATTTCATCAGCGTCGGCCCGGCGATCGGTGTACCGTAATTATCGGATTTGGCCCCCCCTCCCAATAAAAGCCCCCCCCCCCGTAATAAGCCCCCCTCCCCGACCCTGTTTGAAAAATAAGACCACCCCCCGAAATTACGCCCCAGGGGGCCGTTAATAAATGTCGAGCGCCGCAAAATGATAGGTATACCGCAAAATTTAGCCGCAAAAGTTGTTGTAATTTAATGAGAAACAGTTAACGGACATCAATATAATGCGGTGTTCGTTGGCAAACAGCTGTATAAGGAGGTATACACTCCAAAATGTTGCTCCCAAGGTAGTGCAGTTGCATATAACACCGATAATACCGGTAACTACTGCGTTCAGTTTCGCCAGAACACGAGGCGCAGTTAATTACGGTATATTAGTTTTCATGACCGCGAGTTACAGTTTGATGTTCGGAGATAGTTTTCATGGTTGTGTGGTTGATGGAAACCGATCGCAGCCGGCAGATGGAAACGGCAATCAATCTTTGTTTAGCGCGTGAAGAGGGAAACCACTTTTTTACTGGCCTATCAGTTGATTTGTGTTGTGTGTGGCGCTATCCAACGCACAACCACCGCCGCTTCTGGAGTGGCTACTCAGTCGCCGATGGCTGTGGTCCGGGTGCGGGCGGTGCTGGAGGGGATCAGTCGGCGGGGTGCGCTGGAGAAGGCCACCGAGACGGAGGAAGTAGGAGGTGGGCAGCGACGGTGCTCGGATATCGGATAGCGTGCAGAGCGGTAAGCTTGTGTTCGTTCTTTATCGGTTGCTTTATTGGTTAAAGTCCAGTTAATGATGTTGGTTGAGGGCCTCACGTTGTGGCAAATTGTAGACTAGTGCACTACCTGCATCCGACCGGCAGTAGGCCGGTCGGACGATCGATCTTCCATATAAAAATGAGATGAATTTTTACAGGAATTCGCTTCAACGTATATTTTTTCCGCGTTCAATTTTTTAACGGTCGATCGGTTAAAAACGTGCAGTTAATATTGGTTGAGACTTAAGAGCCCTATTAGTTGTGAAAAAGTGTAGAGCAATGGCTGAGCAAAGCCTGTTGTTGATTTATGTGGGAGACGGTTGCCTTTCATTAGATTTGATTTCGATAACAAAACAAAATCCATCGCTTTTTTTATCAATCGCTTATACCCGCGCTGCTGTTTAGAATCAATCAATTACTTACTTCTTGAATGGCCTGAATGTCGAAATAACATTGCGCTATTTTGTCTGTTATCGAATACAAGTAAGATCATGCATTTGAGCGGGCGTTGCAGATGACCTTTTGGAAGACGCATCTCTCGTTTATTCCGGTAACTGTAAATCGGAGAAAGCCGAGCAGTTATCGATCGAATCACCACAATTGGTCGATTTCGGCACCCATTCGCCGGCAATGATATCCATCGAAACCTGGACACCACCGGGCGAAACCACCGAAACCGCTGCCGACCCCTCCACCAACACTCATCCGCAAAGCTTTCCGCACCCCGAAAAAAATCTTCCAAACGAATATCCCATAAAAAACGCCGAAATTCTCGGCGAATACGAACGAAAATCCCTTATTAATCGAGGAGCCCGAAATTCCTCGGGAAACAGCCGGGGAACCGACTTATAATGTTGAGAATGGAGCAAAATTAGCGGGCAAGCAGGAAGTAACGGAATCCATCGCGGAAAACGGAGAATATGATGAGAGCGCGGAGAAATTGACACCGAAGGTCGAAGCAGTGCGGCCAGTGATTGAAGATGGTCCGCTGTCGCCGGCAGTGTCAACACACTCGGAGGAGCTGAGTGAGGACGAGGGCTGTTATGATCTGCGACACGGATATCTGTCCAACAAGTGCGGGGTCGAAGAGAAGCCCAGTGTGACCAAGATCTTCACTTTCGACGACTACGATGCGGTGTAAGTGGTGCAAGGTTTTTTTCGGCTTCAGTTTCGAGTGGCTAATTGCGTTATTCGCAGCCCGGTTGGCATTTTGTTCAAAATTTCGTTTTGAACATCGTTTACGAAGACCTGAACAGTGCAAAACAGTTTTATTTTCATGATGTTTTCATTTTTTTGAAAAGATTCAATGTTAAACATTTCTTTAACTTTCATGTCTCCAAAAATTTAGGATTGTTTTATTACAATTTACAAGCATAGACTGACCTTCTCATGGCAAGAAGTTGAAAAACAAATTTGTTTTTTATTTATAGATTTTGTGTTAAAGTGCATTATTTTGGTTTCTGCGTGTTGACTGTTTAATTTAAAACGTACCGCGAAGTTGCTGCTTAACTTCGGTTTTTTCGTGACCTGATTGATGTACGTATTTGGAAGCTCGTAGACGCCAAAATTTCTTGTCGGTTTTGAATTTGTAGTCCTTTAAAGGGTACTTGATAGCAATTTTATCTCCACATTATATACCACTTTTCACGCTTTTTTAGCGGTGTTATTAGCAAGGAAGTGATGGCCGCTTGTAAAGTCCTCAACGACTACCTGCAGCGCGAAGGCCGCTCGAATTCGCGAAGCAGCGAATCCAGTGTGAACCGTGAATGGATCACTAAGAAAGCGGACCAATAAATTCGTAAGGGCAGATTGAATTTCATGTATTTTTTTGTGTTTTTCATGAGACTTTGGTTGAACAGCACCGGTGTATCCGCATGATCGAGGAGGAGTGGTTCCGGATAGCGGGCCAGAAGGACTCTGACGCCCAACTGGTCAACGACTACCTCGACGCGTTTGAAGGAATGTCCAAGGCGTTGCTGCACAATGTCGTTAATTTGGCCGATAATAATGTACGCTGAATTCGGTAAAAATACGAGTATAACATAAAAATCAGTTTAAATTGGAAATTAATCTGAGTCTCAAGAGAGCGTTGTGTCCACTGACCACCATGGTGGTCCATAAGGAATGATCTTGCATGGTGCAGCCCCTAGGCTCATGATCATGGTGCAACTGTATTTTCTAGACGATCCCCGCCTTGCGTTTTAAACTCGTAATTTGTTCGTATAACTGGGAAGATTTCTTCTTATAAAAACTTTGACAATTTATGTCCGCTTCTTCAGTCTTGCTTGGTGGGTAATTGTTTTCGGCTAAAATACACGAATACACGTGTGTCACGGTGTTGTAGATGATCGTAGTGCATGGGCGAGAGCGGGTCATAATGGTGTTCAGCTCATAAAAATTTAAGCTTCTGAACAGCCTAAAACACTTTTTTTAATTCGTTTAATAAAACGTTTAAATTCGAATCATTTTATGTAGTATTACGCGTATGCATATTTTGTTATGTTGATGGCCTTTTGCCCAATAAAGAAGTATTTACTTTTTTTGTTGTATTTTATGCCATTCTAAGACTGCATGGTTTGCATCGAGAAACTGGAAGACCGCGAAATACGTGTCTCTTGAGAAGTAAAAATAGTTGATTTAAATAAAGCGAAAGTTTAGTCCAAGTTTGTGCGGCAGGGCAACACGGTGCTGCACTACGCCATCTCGCAGAACCACTTGGACGTGGTCAGTGTCCTGCTGGACTCCAAAGTCTGCGACGTGGACAGCGTCAACCGCGCCGGCTACACGGCCACCATGCTGGCTTCTCTGGCGCATTTGGCCCCAACACCGATCTGGTGGTCGCCGCCCGGCTCTTCAAACTCGGCGACATCAACCGCAAAGCGCAACAGGTCAGTGAAAATGCAAAACTCAAACAACTTCTCCGCCATGTATTGACCTGTAGAAAAAGCGGCTTAAAAAATTAGAGAAACTTGGGCCAAATCTCATTAATAAAAAATAAATACAAATATATGTTAATACGAGTAATATAACTGTAATAATATGCAGCTCATATACAATACTAATACATGTATATACTGTATCTGTAATAGTACATAATGTGTATATCTGCATACAATTCTGTTACAAAGTAAAATTATTATCTGATTCGTGAAATCATTGGACATTTCGATAGTTCACTAGTGAAATTAATAATGCACAAGTAAATGAACGAAATACTATTGCAAAAAGATAAATCGGATAAAGAGAAACTGCGAGAAATTATTAATAAATATAATTCGATCTAAAAATATTAATAAAATTTTGAAAATTATTGATGAATATTTATCAGCATGGGCAAACGGCGCTGATGCTGGCGGTGAGCCATGGTCGATTGGACACGGTGCGGCTGCTGCTGCAGGTGGGAGCGGACGTTAACATCCAGGTAAAATTTTTAATAATCCTTGCCTGTGATTTTTCTTCGTAAGTATTCTTCGAAACGCCATATAAAAACGTTTGGCAACCGAGTCCACGGAGATTAATTATGGTTGTGAACTTGTGTTTTGCGATCAGGACGACGACGGCTCGACGGCGCTGATGTGCGCCAACGAGCACGGACACCTGGAGATCGTGCGATTGTTGTTAGGCCATCCGGACACCGACGCCCATCTCACTGATAAGGTACAACGCGATTCCAGAATTAAATAATCAGATATAATTTTGTGTTTTTACATTTTCTGTTGTATAGGTTCCCAGAAACGTGACACGAACGGCAACGGCCACGCCGCGGAGACGAGCCGGTTCGGCTTCAGGCGGAAGCAGAATCACACCACGTCCACCACTGTGAAACAGAGTATTTTCTCCGGCTTTTTTATCTTGTCGTTATCGCAAAGCGTTTGTCTGTATTGCTGTTTGTTTGCCTGTAAAGTGGCATAAATCTATTGCACACAAAAATGCCCCTAAAAATGAGAGCAGGAAGGGAAAAAATCGTCACACCACTGTACAGGGCTAGTCTTGCAGTCGATGAACATGCCACTGTGAAGTGTGAAGAACAAAAATTCATAAAATTAGCACACTTCGTTAAAGTTGCTGATAACAAGATTGTCCTGAACTTCAACGACGTTTATGAATTTTCTAGATATTTCTTGAAAATAAGAAAAAACCGAGAATCACTGTACGAATAATAAGGTAAGGTCTCAATTAATAAGGTTTATGTGAGTGTAAAACTGCTGGTGCGTTGCGCGGATCCTATTCGTAGAGCGCTTCGCGGCAACAAATGGCCGTATCGCAAATTTTGTGACCATGTTGGAAGCATCATAATACGAAAGTACGAGTATCATAATACTTCTGCCGGAAAAAAGTATAAGCAATCGACGAGAATCCCACCGGTTTTCCGTAATGACGGTCGTGGTTAATGACTTTGCCGCACTGTGTGCAGAACGACGAAGTAGTGTACAGATTCTGTTCTTTGTGGGAATAACGTAGAGCAGTGGGTATTTACGCCATAGAGACCATTTAAGATACCCTCTCATGCATTCCGATCAAAGTAACAAAAAAATGATTTAAATACTACCATTTTTGAATGATTTTGTAATTTTTATTGATTTGATAAGAAATAATTTCTCTCTCCTGCATACAAATTCATCACGAATCGGCATCACGCCCCATATCCCGTGTTCTGTTCCATATAGACAAGCGGTTCAGTTCAACCAACCGGCTGTATTACGTAAATATACGGGGCACACGCAATTACGTATAAGACGGAGTTACAATGGATGCATTTTGTTCCGGTGATTTTTAACAAAAATAGCGCCTATGGTTGCAGAATGTCGTAGTCTACTGGCACCCAATCGGACGGTGATGTGGCTGCAATGCGCTCTGTCTAAGGATTACTTACCGAAATGTAATTTGAATACTTAATAAATATTTAAATACACGTCTCGAAAGGTTTTTTTAGTTTTGTTCATTCTGTTCACTTTTCTTTCCATTTTTCTTCATCAAAACCGGTTTCATAGCCTGTATACAAAGCGAAGGAGTACACATGTGGCGCAGAGCACGGCTAATACGCATCGCTGTGAGAAACGGGTGCATTAACTCGAGTAAAGTCATAATACGAAATCAGGCGATCATATTTTCATCAAATGGTTTATGATACGTACGTAGATTGCCTATATGCGCACTTCGCAGTGTAACTAAGTCGTTACAGCCCAACTGGGGCACTCCTTCACGTGTTTTTCGTCACGGCGGCAGCTCGTTTCGGAACAACTCATTAGTCTCAGTCAAACCTCAACTCCGTGCACGGGCTGGCTACAAACACTTCCCCCCGTGGAGAGGGGAAGTGTTTGTAGCAGCGAATTAGACGACGTCTCTCAACTCAAGTTGAAAACGAACATTGAATGCGATTTCGAATGACTTGCGCATTGCGCGGTTAGAGTTGTTCGTTTGGGAGTATTTAACTTAGGATACAAAAAAATTATCAGTCGGACTACCTACATTTCATTTAATTAATTTTAAGACTGTATTGCGTAGAAATTCAGGCGAAAGGATGAAAGCAACATGAAAAATGCTTTTGAAAAGTTACTTTTTTAGGTAGTTAAGTGAGCCTTTGTTTTACGGAAATGGATGGATAATAAATCTGTACTGGCCAAATGCCATCAAAAGTACAAACTACAAAATAGAAGTTTGTTTGGTGGCTTTGGTCGGGGTACGTCCACGGGGAAGCTACACCCGCTATTCAGCTGGTCTACGTCGTAGACCGTAGTTGCAACTCCGTGGAGCACAGCGACCAATCACGGCGCAAGGCGGGGCCAGCGAGCTCCACGGAGTTACAAACCCGTGCAGGGAGTTGAGGTTTGACTGAGACTTTTACGCAACCGTTCGTGGCGTGACTTTTGGTCGCGCGACTTTCGAAGTCGGACAATTAAGTATAGACAGCAACACCAAACGAGCCCAGCAACGGCTTGTGCCAGACAAAATGCCCGGCCGCTAGTTTTCTAACGACGAATATCCTCATGGCATATAACGAATTTCCACAAGGTCGAAACTGATATCCCGCGATTACCTGTCCCACAGCTAGTTAAATTCCGGGTGATAATTATCTACTCTTTTCCAGGTGATAATTATTTTCGTGCGTTGCAACCGCTATCGTCTGGCCGTAGCCCTTTTGCAGGCCATGTCGGAGGAGCGGAGTCGTTGGGTACTGGGTGCGCTGGCCCACGAGAACTCGTGGAGTGGACAGCGGCATTGCTCAGATATCGGTGTGCAGAGTGAGATTCTAATGCTGTTTGGTTTCAGTTTTGAGGCGAATACATCTGTTTTCTAGGTGATGTGCCGCTACGGCAGTGCGGCGTGATCGTAGTAAAGTGTCATGCAGCTTACAATGGACGACAAAAAGAAGTTGAACCGTTCAGTCGGTCCGCGGTTCAAGAGTTACCTCGCAACGACACGCCACCAGTAAAACTTGACGCTTACTTTCTTTGTACGCTACTTTTAAACGCTCGCGCTCCGTGAATTTTGGAGTGCAACTATGCAAATTCCATATCAAAAGGTGTAGAAAAAAATTCTAAACTTTTTGATACTAAACCTGTGGCCCTTTATGGCGAAAAACACAAATTCCAGCCATTCTGCTTTCTCGTTGGCACAGCATACGATCTGTGCGCAAAACCGTTTGGCTTGCAATCTTCATATGCTTAAGTCTATGAGAAAAACAAACATTGATAATTTGCTTCCTTTCCCATGAACTGCCACTTATTTGGAATCAAAAATCTCGTAATTTTTTTCTGGATCTTTTGGGATATTGGATGAGTGATTCTGTTTCGTAATTCACGAGAAATAAGTGGAAGAACTGACTTTACGACACACGCATGAACGTAGATCAGTTTGCAACAGGGAAAACAGCCAGTGCGCACAATATGTTTTCAAGCCGAGCCATCAACTTCTTTTTGTCGTACATTGTACAAAGGTTGCTGCTATTTGCGAAATGAGGCGCATTAAAATCTGTTCAGTCGTCATCTGAAAATATTTTTTGCTTCAGTTAGCGAATAAAAGTATACTGTAGCGACCGTTACAGGGTGGAACACAGAGTGTGCCGTGTACGGAAATTTGCACACACATTGCTCGTGTCATGTCGTGTGCAATTGGGATTTGTTGTGGGATGCTGTACTAGAGTCCAGATGGATAAAGCAGACATTGCTGCTAAGTTTACGGTTGCGTGCAGGGCCGTAGGCACTAGAGTAGGTTTTGAGGGTTATACAGAGTAGAATGCATAGCGACCCTATGGACAGAACAGAATAAGTTTGGTCACACCAGAACTGTACGGGCAGCTGGCGATTACGCCGGCGGAACAGCGATGACGCTAGAAAGAGACAGTGTGGAAGTGCGCAGCTATGGTTCTACCATTACTTAACATCTCGAAGGCAGCGAGTGAAAGTAACAGCGCGCGTGTCGGACTGGCTCCCAGTGCGGTCGGGAGTGCCGCAAGGCACAAGGATGGGGCCAGTTTTGTTCATTGTGTATATTAACGATATGCCAGATGGAATGGACGAAGAATAGTTCGCCGATGATACAGTGCTGTGCGGCGTCGGACCTACAAAAGCGGACGCTGCAGCGAAGTTAACCGTGCAGATTGACAGTGTGACAACCGGGCTTGCGGACAACACTTTGTGCATCAATGAAAAGAAGTGCAAACTGATATACATATGCTCCGAAACGAAGAATAGCCAGCCCCCTCCGGTGGTGACAATCAACGGCCACCAGATGGAAGAAGAAAGGTACGTGAAATACCTGGGGATCTACATAGATCGCAACCTAAAGTGGGGAACGCATATCGATCACGTGCTGCGAAAAGTTAACTACGGCATCGCAATGATTAACTGCGCAAAAGACGGCCGGGATCTGCCCCAGCGTAGGAGCCTTTACCATGCCTGTGTGCAACCACACTTCGACTACGGGTCGGATATGTGGTCACCGGCATCTTTGGCTTTGCGCGGCAAACTGGCTAAAGCACAGCGGAAAGCACTGCGGGCGATTTCTGATTACAAGGAGCGGGAAACCCCAGAGCTGTACCAGAAAATGCGCATCCTGCCGGTGTACGACCGTTGGAAGCAGTCCGAGGCAGTATGGTTGTACAAGATCTACAACCACGAAGCGTACCGTCCGCCGCAGTACTTGGTCGACATGATGGACTTCACGGACATCACAGCGCGGTACAATCTCCGGAAGCCAAAGAGAATCGAAGCCAAAGCGAAGAAGAAGATCGGAGAAGGGACGTTGGCCATGCGTTTAAAAGACATTTTTGAGCGAATACAAAAAGTTAATATGCAGATACTCAGAGTTGATGGTGTGGGTTTTTTTAAATTTGCTCTCTGAATGGTTGATCTGTCGTTATCTTAATGCTGTTTCTTACGTTTGTACCGACCAGACGTTAAAGTCCCGTTAAACGGGTTGTCTGCTCTTGATGTAATAATAATATAATAATAATAATAATGTGGCTGGGTTCTGTCGATTTAATGACTGTAGTATCTGTATGTGCTGTACTGAAATTACATAATTATTATGATAATAATTATTACATAATTATTATTATGATGTCCCTTCTCATGTTAATTGGGACAAATTCTTTATTTGATTGTGTTTACTGATTGTGAGTGGTGCTCGCTGATGTAAATAGATAGAGTTATAACATTATTAAGACATTTTATTACGTGTACGATGCAGCGAAATTTGCCACAATAATCTATTCGATGGCTCCATTCAGGGATATCGTGTACTCACATTATTTGATTATTGTACGGGTACAAGTGCAGAATATTGATTCACAGCTGAACTTACAGTATGTACGAGTATGTACTTACATGGAAAACTATGGCCTTGATCGGACTGCATGCGCATCAGACGTCGTATGCTGACCATGGTCGGTATCACATCACACATGCTTTCTCGGGCGGATTATTGATTTCCTCGGGGCAGTGTTGCACGGTATCCGTTATACGAGCGATGTGGAAACGTTTAGCAGTACATTACCGTTGGAGTACAGCAAGTCTCCAAGACGCCAGCCGTGCGCTTTAATTAAAATGACAACAAATTCGAAAATCTTCAATGATGTAATGTACTTCTCCACATTCTATCGAAAATTTACTGTGGATGTGTTGCAGGACGGTGCGTTTATGAGGGGATTTGTGGTGGATATGACGGCAAATGGACTTCTCATTGACCTTCACCATGTTGGCAATTCCATCGCCAGTATACCGTTTGCCCAACTCCATACGATTCCCGATCACTTTTCAACCTGCCGTCGTTATGGAGACTTTTTACAGGAAACACTGGAGAGCAAAGACATCGAAGTGTTAATCCGTTGTGACAGGTAAGCAGTCCCAGAGTATCCAATTACTACCGCAACTGTTCCTGTAAATCGCATAGAAAACTTAGGCGCACATGCATGCATCAAGTGGATTACGTGCAAATTGCAACTGAAATTTCATTATCCAATGGGTGTTTCAGCGAGCAGCCATTAACTTGGACAAAAGCCGACAACATCCTAGCCGTTCCAAGTTACGGCAACCGTCCCCGCTGTTACGAGGGTGAACAGTGCGTGGTGGCGAAAATAGCAACGGGCGGTGTGGAGTGCTAGATTGCCGTGAAGAACGATTACCCTCTGTGCTATCCATCGCAAATTCGCATTCGCTCCCGTTCTCGCCGGCAGTATGAATCGGTCACCAAAGAGACATTCCATAAAATCACCGTTCTGCACAGGAGATGCCAAAAGGACTGCTCTTATTCGAAGACAGCATTGCAGTACGCTCTGGATGTACTGGATGTCGATTTTAGGATGTTTTGGATGCAAACTACGGGCACGTTGATTATCAAATCGGATGCCAAAAGTATAACTGTTATCAGCTATGGAATGTTGGAAGACGCCGCTTATGCGCAGTTCCACCAAATCATTTTTCACTGCTCAGAAATGTTTCTCCAATGTTCCTGGAGACGCTACATGGCACAATGCAGAAGCACACTTTTTGCTTTGTCGATGGCAGGTATCCACCATTACAGATTTCGCTTAATTAGTACATAAAAAATGAGGTAGACCGTATCGGCATACATAATATATATATACAGGTAGCATTTCATATTTTTGTTATTACATACTTCTAAATTAATGATTTATGGTGCATCTGCAGGTAAGCTGAAAATCAATGCTAGCACAGACCTTGACAGTGAATTCACGCTTAAATCTTGCGTTTTGTTGCTGTTATTGTTGTCTTTCCAGAAGAAGAAAATTCGCAGTGTACGTGGTTTTCCAAAACTTGGGGAAGGTTCAGATATTTTCGCACTTGGATGGAAAATAATTGCTCGAGTTGCATGTGTAAGTTGGTGGTTTCTAGCTTTAGTGGTAGTATAGTATTATGTAATAACTTGCAGGTCGTCCACGTAATGTGACTCTGCAAGGACTGAGCATGCAACATGGCGCACGCGCATGTAACGTTAAGGAATACAGAAGCAAAACTAAGTTGCATACCCTTAAAAATACTTTGCTAAAAAACGGTGCTCTCGTTTTCTAAGACAGTTAAAGGCAGGCTGTTTGCTGATCCAACTTGCCTTTTGACACTCGCTGTTTGTCGTCAGTTTGTCAGCTCAGATGTCTCTTTGCTTAAGCAGACGTTCCACATTCTATCGGTCCTGAAGTACTTATGAGGGATCTCCCTGATACAGTCCTCTTTGACATCTTTTCAGCTGTGGATAGTGTGGCACAGAAAGACCTGAAACGGTAATACTTTTATATAACGATGAAATTTACTCGCGATGGCATTACGGACTCTGTAACTGGTGTTTTTTGCTTGCACCTTTAGTATATGAAATACCTCTCTTTACATCTGTCTGTAATAGGTGTGAGTAGTAACATACGAGGCCATATTTTACAGAGGTTTTCGCTGTTCTAAAGGTGTGCGAGAATTGAATCGGGCTCAGTTGAGAACGTTACGGTTTCGATACAGATGCCTTTAACAGTTGTGTTGTTGCCCTACCGTGAATGTATGAAGCTTCAAATTTATTAAAAATTATTTGTCCTTCAGCGTGTATAGCAGTATAGCAGTGATATCTGCGTATTGCAGTGAAAACTGAGTCTATCTTTTAGCTTCGGCTACGCAAAAAAGGCAAAGAAAAACTAAATTCTCCTTCATAATATGATTCAACTAATTGCGATATGCGCTCTTGCTTTAGTGTTTGCTTGAGGTGGAACTTTATCCTATCTGGCTCACGTTCTAGCCGGATTGTTACTGTGTCCTGCCCTCACTTTGAACATGTTCCCAAAGAAAGCGCCTCTTTATATTTGGCTAAAGCATTGGTCAGATGCACGACTTCTGCCACGCAAACAATCCTGCTCGATCAGTTTTATCACAGTCATTACAGTACCGCTCTTTTGACTGCTCAGCACCTTGCCGTTTCTCTGCGACACTTCCTGTCTTATCGGCATTCTGGTGTTTCTCTTCGGTGGGAGCTGGAAATGTACCCAGAAGTGTCCAATATGCACCTGTATTGTACTGTACTTATGATGGATTCAACCTCCAAAACGATAGGTAAATCAAGCACCTGCGTCGTGGCAGTTTTCACCACAAACCACCCATCCGACATATATTCAGCGGACTGTTTTACAGAAATATTAATTGCTCCATCAGAAGACGCAAAGCAGGTCAGGGCTTTCGACTCCAGTTGGACGTACTGTTGCACAATGAAGACTTTAACGGAAGTAATCAATGGTATTCCAAAAGTCCTCAATGGTTTCAATGATATATGTTTCGCGCGATGCGAACGAATGTTTGGAAAGAGCGATAATGAAGATGATGAAGAAGGCGCCCGGAAAAAGCTGCACGAAGCGTATAATTATTGGCCGCTCAGCCAAGATGCGAAGGACATTCTGGAAAACGCCTTTTTAAGGATTTCTCCCATGAAACTTTACCGCGCTCGGCTCCTAAAAAACCCATGTGCCTACGCCGTGTTTAGTCCGCAAGTGCTGAAAATTTTAATACGTAATCCACTGCGGTCTGGGTTTCGCGATAACAGTTCTCAGGGTGTCGAAAGTTGGCTACGAATTCTGTAGTAAACTGTTGTATCACAAACTTGTATGGGTTCCCAAATGACTTTTGTGATGCAGCTGCTGCTTATATTAAATTTTCATTAATTTTCGCTGGCTGTAGCCGCCTGTAGAAGCTGTTCTTATATGGACTTTGCTGCGGTCGGAGAATATTTTCCTGGTGAACATACGTACGTCTCAATGGGCATTCCGCAAAGCTGGAATCATGCGGTTCACTTTCCACTCAGCTTTTTGATCGGTTGGTCGGCTTCACGCGGAAGCTGAACCACACCACCTCCACCATCGCACCATGTGAAACGAGTGGGTGTGTTTGCCTGTGAAACAGAGTACTTTCTCCTGCTTTTTTACGTTTTCCTTGTCCTAAAGCGTTGGTTTGTAGTGCTATTTGTTTGCCTGTAGATCTGCGTTACCCACAAAAATGCACCTAAAAATTTCACTAAGAAGGAAAAATCGCATTAATGCATAGCGCAACGCTTTCACTTGACGAACATGCAACAGCGAGCAATTAAATCAATAAAACCACACAGTCCATGAAAGCTGCTGATAAGATTGTCCCGAAATTCGATGACTTCTTAGCGTGCAATTTGAAGAAATATTGGTTTAAAATGTCAAAATATTGAGAATTTTTTGTATTGGTTTGACCGTAATAACGTAGCTGATGCGTTGCGCGTATTATGAACCGTTTAGCGGCAGGGAATGACCGCTGACGATATCGGCAAATGTTGCTGTGTATTAACAGAATGGACTGGCACACATGTATACCATTCTTTTTTGCCCACGTTCCAGAAATGGAATATCGCCTTACTTCCCGTCCCATTGTCCTCATCAAGCACCTTTACTATGAATAAAATACTTCCTCCGGCTGCAGCTATTAATGGCGGTTGATAGCCAGTCCTTTTAAAGTCATAAGCTGTCGGCTCGTGGAATACCTCTTCCACTTTGGCAGAATGTGTTAACGGATCGAATATCCAGAACTTTTGAGAGCTAATCGCATAACCACCTGATTCGAGGAGCACTATGACGCTTTTATTTCGAAGTCTTTGCAATAATTTGTTGGCGGATATTCGGGTTCCACTAACAATATCCAAACACTCTCTGATGATGCCGGTTAAATTCTTATCAATGTCGTTGCTCACAAATGGAACATATCCGTCGACGATCAAGGTGGAATACTGATAATTAGTGAGCTGGCTTCCAGCATCTACAACATCCCCATTCTTCGCCAGTCGCTGTTTAGGTACCCTTTCGAAGGTTTCGACCATCTCCAGAATAATACAGCCCAGGCTCCATATATCCGTTTTTCGTCCTGGTGGCTCTGGTTCTAAACCCCAAAATTTTCTGAGCATTTCTGGTGACATGTAGCGCGCTGTGCCTCGCAACTGGGAAATGTCCCCAGAACAAGTTGCATTTTCTTTAATTTGCACCAAGTCGTCTAAATCCCCAATCACCAGTCTCTCGCTGCCACGCTGCAGAGCGTTAAGAAGAATATTTTGTGGCTTTAAATCACCGTGAATTATTCCTTTCCCGTGTAAAAATTCCAGTCCATGGGTAATGTCTTCCGTAAAACGGTATAAACTTGCATAGCTGTTCAACAACCATTCGGCCCTCAGGCCATCCTTCAAAATGGAAGCAAGATCCCCTACAAAACCGTTTGCAACACTTGGAAACAACTTTACACCAGTACAAACTTCAAACGTAACATTACTGGATTATATCACCTTTATGGTGGTAGTCCATTGCTAGCTCAACGGTTGTCCAACCGCCAGCTTGGGTAATAGACACTTTGTGGTAAACTACGAGGTTCTCATGCAGCAAGAATTTCAGCTGTCGCAACCGTCTCTCGGTTTTGCTCCAATGTTCCTGGTCGCCAACAACTTCGGATTTTTTCTATGTGCATCACTTTTACAGCTAGAAACTCTGGTCCGGAATAGGTGTTCGCCCCTGTAATTCTGGCTTTATAGACAACGCCGAATGCTCCTCTTCCAATAATGTCCGCATCTGTATACCGGTACGTAACATTACTGCCAATTTCCCCAGATGTGACGGAACCGCTGGTACTGGCGCTCGCCATTTGCGTTGCTACAACGAATGGAAAAGGATTATCGATTAATAACAGACAAAATTTTGATCAACAAATTTGAGCAAATCGCGTTAGCGGTTTAGAGTACCGGTGCTCGGTGCTTGGACAGCAATAATGCTGGCGTCCGTGCCGCAATGAAATTCAAGTGCCTGCAGAAGGAAAGCAGAGCAAATACTGATATCTCTGTGACGAGTAATATTTTATTATAACGTTACTGCTATAGAATTTACCTGGAGAATGCAAAAGTTCTCGCAGTGCTAACCTTAATGAATGTTGTGCAGCGGCAGTATTTGCCTTAACAAGTTAGCATCATCCGCTTGATATCGTTAGAACTTGGGCCTGATAAGATAACAGCACAACACACGCTTTAACGGTTGCAATCATTTAGCTGGTGCGTAATATAGGGGGGAAAACCATTGTAGTCGAAATAATCCACGGCACTGCTACCGTTAGCCGACTGGAGTGTGACGTTGCGGTACATGCCGTTAAATCAGGCGCGGTACATAAGCACTATGTACTCAAACACACTCAAACAGGAGGACAACCTGTAACCGGGTATTATATTTTGCGGCAGATCATGGCAGTTTGCACACGTTATTTTAATATTTATTGACAAGGCACGGTTCTTCGACATGTCACATATACAATCTGTAAATTTCGTTCCGTCGATATTGTAGCTACTGCGCTGATTTACGTTATGATATTGCTACTGATTCATTAGGGCGATATGCCCACTCCTTTTATCTGATATGCTACACTGCTTGTCTGCCTACCTATACTGCTGTTCTTTCATTGCTTCTAATCATGAGTACCACTTCCATCATTGCACACTTTGTGCACATGATTGCTTAGTCTGATTCCGTCCTTAATAATAATTCACTGCCTCGCATTGCCTTTCCGTTCATTGCCGCTAATGCATCCTTTTTCCACGTTATCAACAGATTCAACACATTAGCATACTCGACCGGCCGGTGTAGCAGTGCAGTGACTTTTTGTTATTTTACACTCTGCCAAAAAATACGAGTATGTAACAACACATTGTAAAAAATAATTGCTGGAGTCAGCCAAGAATGTCTATTACTATGTCGCTTTCCACATCAATAGTCAACGCTTTTAGTACATCTTCCAGAGACCAACTCTTCATATTTTTCACAAAATTTGATAATGTTTCGTTACTGTTGTCCAAGCTAAGGGTGGACCATCCTGCGTCATTTTTGGTATCATAACACTCTAGTGTTAGCGCGTGATTTCCGTCTGGAGGTCTGCCGCCACAGATGTACATCCGATCATTGACAACGCAAGCGGAGTGGTCATATCTCGGTTGCGGATGCGGTTGCATCAGTTCCCAGTGAGGTATAATAGCATCCACGTTCAGGCGGATACAGGTAGATGACGCACCATCCCAGATGCTTTCGAAATTTCCTCCCTGGCCGCCCATAACATATATGTATCCGTTCACCACTGCCATAGCAAATCTTTCTCGCCATTCTGGGAAATTTGGGAAGGATTTCCATTTATCACTCACCGTATCGTATTGCCACACGCTGTTCCACGCAACATAATATATATGGTCGCCATATTTCGCTACTGCACCGTCGATTGGATAACGACTGCAACTGAAAATCTTCGGTACAGTCGGCTAACTGACTTGTATAATACAAGTACATGTTAGCGTGGAAAAAGCAGCGTTTTCACTTACTCAATTTCCCAAGGAGTCTTCAAAGATACAACATTGCCAGTAAAGGCATCCATTTTCATGAAGAATACGTCGGAGTACCAAAAATAAATCTTGTTCTTCAATATAATCCAGCTCCTTGACCATATCTTCAAGGTAGGCATTATCTCACGCCATCTCCTTCGGTCAGATTCCAGAAATGGATCAGACCATCGGCAGACCCACTCATTCTGTCTCGTTGTATGCATATCATTTCTGATTTTGTCCCTGCTAACACGTCATACGTCTTCCACGATCTTAATGACGCCCCGAGCACTTCTCGAACTTTAAAAGAACCAGTCCAAGGATCGAATAATAATACGTTTTCGATCGGGCAGTCGGAGAAAGGAAAAAATAAAATGATCTGTTTCTTTTGTCGCCTGAAGGCACGCAGTAATGCTTCAGCGGAGATTCTGTTCGTACTAACTGGATCCAGACATTGTAGGATGAGACGCGCCAAATCTTTCCCAATGTCATCGCTTACCAATGGCACGAAGCCGTCAATGATCAGATTGGCGTACCGGTGGTCAGGAAGATTGGTTCCCGCGTCTACAATGTGGCCGTCTTTCACGAGTCGCTTTTTGGGTCTGTTTTCAAGACTTTCAGCCATCTCCAGAATTACGCAGCCCAGACTCCAAATATCCGTTTTCCTTCCGGGTGGCTCTCGCGCTGTTTGGGAGAATTTTTTTAGCATTTCTGGTGACATATAGCGCGTCGTGCCGCGGAGCTGGGAAATATCTCCCGAACAAGTGCGCTTTTGCGCATTTGAACTAAGTCGTCCAAATCACCGATCAAAAGCTTATGGCGTCCACCTTCTACGAATTTTACAAATTATGAATGCAGGATTCCTCGAGCTATGTGTATCGTAAATTTCCTCTTCGAA